AGTCAAACTTGTATTAAGCGACCAGCAAGGGAAACACAAAAAAAAGTTCTTTCAATACGATGGTCTTTTAAGCATGAAAAAACATAAAAATTTAATATTGATATCTTTCCTTTGAAATAGGAGTTTTTCAACACTATATACATGTGTAAGTATCAACAAAGCATCATATGTATCATCACAGAAGGGGCAGAGCGTTGCTTTGCTTTACCGATTTTATTGGATAATACACATCACAAATCATACTTAACTTCATTTGCATATGCTAGCAGTTTGGGAATTTAAGTTTTTCACACATACATTATACTTTGGATGTTGAATCTTGTAATCACATAAGGTAGCGTTCTATAACAAGAGGGCCATGATGGCCCTGAGGTCGCTCACCTGTACATAGCCCCCCCCCCCCCCCAACACCCCCCCCCCCAACATGCAGGGCCAATTTAACCCAAGGGCTTTTATTTGCACAAACTTGGTAGACACCCATAAGAAGATGTTTCATGCTAAACATCTAAGCTCTAGTTCATTGGGCTTTTTAAAAGAAGATTTTTTTCAGTTTTTACTATACACATATAGTTAAAAACAATGACACCCCTGGGGCCGGGCCAGTTTTGACCCCAGGGCTTTTATTTGAACAAACTTTGTAGACACTTACTAGAAGATGTTTCATGCTTAATATCTAAACTCTAGCTATTTGGGTTTTTTCAAAGAAGATTTAAAGTTTTTGCTAAACACATATAAAGAAAATCATTGACCCCCGGGGCGGGGCCAATTTTGATCCCAGGTCTTTTATTTGAACAAACTTTGTAGACACTTACTAGAAGATGTTTCATGCTTAATATCTAAACTCTAGCTATTTGGGTTTTTTCAAAGAAGATTTTTTAAGTTTTTGCTATACACATATAAGGAAAATCAATGACCCCCGGGGCAGTGCCAATTTTGACCCCAGGGCTTTTATTTGAACAAACTTGGTAGACACCTATTAGAACATGTTTGATGCTCAATATCTTAGCCATAGCTCTTTGAGTTCTTTAAAAGAAGATTTTTAAGTTTTTACTATATGCATATAGGGAAAATCAATGACCCCCCGGGGCGGTGCCAATTTTGACCCCAGGGCTTTTATTTGAACAAACTTGGTAGACACCCATTAGAACAAGTTTCATGCTAAAAATCTTAGCTCTAGCTCTTTGGGTTCTTTAAAAGAAGATTTTTTAAGTTTTTACTATATGCATATAGGGAAAATCAATGACCCCCGGGGCGGGGCCAATTTTGACCCCAGGGCTTTTATTTGAACAAACTTGGTAGACACCCATTAGAACATGTTTCATGTTAAAAATCTTAGCTCTAGCTCTTTGGGTTCTTTAAAAGAAGATTTTTTAAGTTTTTACTATATGCATATACGGAAAATCAATGACCCCCCGGGGCGGGGCCAATTTTGACCCCAGGGCTTTTATTTGAACAAACTTGGTAGACACTCACTAGAAGATGTTTCATGCCAAATATCTAAGCTCTAGCTCTTTGAGTTCTTTTAAAGAAGATTTTTTAAGTTTTTACTATATGCATATAGGGAAAATCAATGACCCCCCAGGGCGGGGCCAATTTTGACCCCAGGGCTTTTATTTGAACAAACTTGGTAGACACCCATTAGAACATGTTTCATGCTAAATATCTTAGCTCTAGCTCTTTGGGTTCTTTAAAAGAAGATTTTTTAAGTTTTTACTATATGCATATAGGGAAAATCAATGACCCCCGGGGCGGGGCCAATTTTGACCCCAGGGCTTTTATTTGAACAAACTTGGTAGACACTCACTAGAAGATGTTTCATGCCAAATATATAAGCTCTAGCTCTTTGAGTTCTTTAAAAGAAGATTTTTTAAGGTTTTACTATACACATATAGGGAAAATCAATGACCTCCCGGGGCAGGGCCAATTTTGACCCCCAGGGCTTTTATTTGAACAAACTTGGTAGACACCCATTAGAACATGTTTCATGCTAAAAATCTTAGCTCTAGCTCTTTGGGTTCTTTAAAAGAAGATTTTTTAAGGTTTTACTATATGCATATACGGAAAATCAATGACCCCCCGGGGCGGGGCCAATTTTGACCCCAGGGCTTTTATTTGAACAAACTTGGTAGACACTCACTAGAAGATGTTTCATGCCAAATATCTAAGCTCTAGCTCTTTGAGTTCTTTTAAAGAAGATTTTTTAAGTTTTTACTATATGCATATAGGGAAATCAATGACCCCCCGGGGCGGGGCCAATTTTGACCCCAGGGCTTTTATTTGAACAAACTTGGTAGACACCCATTAGAACATGTTTCATGCTAAATATCTTAGCTCTAGCTCTTTGGGTTCTTTAAAAAAAGATTTTTTAAGTTTTTACTATATGCATATAGGGAAAATCAATGACCCCCCGGGGCGGGACCAATTTTGACCCCAGGGCTTTTATTTGAACAAACTTGGTAGACACTCACTAGGAAATGTTTCATGCCAAATATCTAAGCTCTAGCTCTTATGGTTTTTTAAAAGAAGATATTTAAAGTTTTTTCTTTCTGTTGCCATGGCAACCAGAGTTCTGCATGGAATTAAATTCTTTGAACAATTATTAAAGGTGACCACCAAAGGAACATTCCTGTGAAGTTTGGATGAAATTGGCTTAGTGGTTTATGAGGAGATGTCATTTAAAGTAAAAGTTTACGGACGGACGCCGGACGGACGCCGGACGAAAAGCGATCACAAAAGCTCACCCTGTCACTTTGTGACAGGTGAGCTAAAAAAAAAAGACTATAGAAATGACAGGTAAAAATGGATGCTTGATGAAAAAAATAATTAGATAGCTGGTGCCTTGAGCTATATTGGCTTAACACATTAAAGATACAAAGAGAAAGTGGTCATGTAAGTCAAAAGTTGATTAATACATGTGATCGCTTGGGCAAGTTAGGCTGTTGTTATGTCATAAACAGAGTAGGAATGTGATTAAATATGTAGTTATGCCATAAACAGTACATTTAAAATTATCATGAACTGTGCAGAAATGCAGTTATGAAATATATAGTGCAAAAGGTTTTCATTTTGAAGGAAATTTGGCTATTTATTTGTCTGTATTAAGAAAACTTATTTATTTCAAAGCAAAATTTTGCTGAAACTAATGTGATATAGCAGGTAAATCTGATAAAATGACTGATACATAGAAATCTATAAAATATACTCCATGCATTTTATCTAGCTATAAATTTTCATAGAAAAATATTTACATATATTTGTCATTGACAACAATAAGAGAAACACCCTCTTTAAATAACTTATGTTAACAACTTCAAGTTAAACATTTCTAAGTAATAACAGATGTTCATAAATAAACTAATGTATGATAAAATGATCAATGAAATAACTTTCAATACACCATAGTGTGATATATATATATAGGATATTGAATGAGTGTAAGTTTAATATTGAATTTATTGAATGAGTTGAATAAAATAATATTATGCAAGCCTCTGGCGAGCATAATATTATTTTATTAAAAAGTTCAATAAATTCAGTTATGAACTAATTATATTTATCACATACCAAAAATATAGACTGTTTGAAGAGAAAAAGAACCATTTTTCATTGACACGCTATAGTGTAACACTAATATTTAGTGCATCTTCAATCTGTTTATATTTATCTAACGCAAATGTCGTCACATCAAAATATATGCACGGCCGTGCAATACCATTTTACAGAGTCGCAAAAAGGGCATTGGTATGTGATAAATGTGCATCACAGTACATACAAAAATTGAAGTACCGGCATAAATAAAAATGAAGTCAATCACATATTTTTGCATAAACAAGTTGATGTAATATCAAGAATTCTGCTTGTTCTGGAAGTCTGCTGTAAAAATTGTATCCTTTTCACGTAATTTTGCCACCAATTTCTTGCGATATTTTTCCCGTAGTCTGCCAAACTCCATAATGTCCTTGGGTTTCTCAGCAAACCAGAATGAATCAAAGTTATAGAACACATAGCCTGTAATATATTATATGCAGCTTCAACAGTATATTCTATCAACTGACAAAAATTTAAAACATACATGTATAATTTTTAAAATGTTTCATGATTAATTATCAACATACAATTTTTAATTTATCAAACAAACATTCTATTTAAACTAACTAATTGACACAAAAGAAAAATCAAGATGAAAGTGTAAGAAAAGGACGTAAATATATAAAATAGATAGCAACAGATAATTTGTTATTTTTCTCAGTTCATTGTAATTGCTATAATACAAATCAAGTCTTCTTTTCTTTAACATCTTTATTTGATCTTTGATCTCATTATTATTGTGATGTATATGTAATTTAACATGAGTCATATGATTAGCAATAAAAGTAATTGTATTCTTTCTATGATGGAGGAATTGATGCTTAATTTGTTGGTTAGTTTGGAAGGGGCTCTGACACATATATGGTCATATGGTGACATTTCTAACAACAACAAATAGAACTTTCCCTGAATATTATTATTAATGCCCTTAGTAGGTTCAAGTTCATATTAACTTTCTATCTTTCTTCAAGAACTGATCACTTATATTTAACATTCATCAACAAACTATGTGGTGATCATAATGATATACTTACAATAAACTTCATGAAAGTCTTCTAGAGTAGGTTTAGCAGTTTTACTGTTATAGAAATGGCTCCTGAGATTACCATATCTCAATAATGTATAAACAAGCTCTGTTAGGTTTATACCTACTATTGCAAATGAATACCTGAAATACATACAAAGTATACATTTGCATTTCCCCTCTCCTTGATTTATAATAGAATCAAACATATTACAGGTGACAAGTACTGTTTCCCCCATTCACCCTCCTGGCCAGAAATGCTTATACCCACAGGACCAGTGCAGATCAAGATCAGCCAGTACCTCTGTGCCATCTGATCATGGTCTACACTGTAAGCTGTCGGTTAGCTCAATAAGTAGAGTGTTGGACTGTGAATCGGGCGACCCGGGTTCGATTCCCAGATAGTGCAGGTCACTTTCGTTGTGATTGATCATGAAATCTTTTCTATAGTCATTCGCATTGTACCTCTGCTCTGGCATATACAGAAGTTTCAGTTCCTTGCGAAAGTGAAGGCAACTAGTACTGGTAAACTGCTTGACAGCCTGCCCAGGAATGATGTAGTGGCTAACCTATGCTTTGGTGAATTCAATGTGACTTACTGTCGTGATTCTGAGTTAAAACTACCAACACCAAAACAGTCTACACTGTTTGCTATTTAGTCACCATATTTTGAAATTTTCCCTAAGAAAGACAAGTGGTTTTGTCCAGATTGAAAGATGGACCAGTCCATTTAAGATATTTAGTGTGGTGAGAGTTTAGAGTTATTCTCCAATGAACATGCAATAATCTTATCATGTCAATGCCATTTTTTGCTTAGAGTGTTTTAATGACAGACTACATTTGTATTTAAAGTACATATGATTTTTTTTTATACTACATGTTTATGAATACAAACTCTGATTGCTACTGACAACAACATCAGAATGTTATAAAGTGAAGTAAAATATTTTATCACATTTAACAACTTTGTCATGCATGAAACTTACCCGAAATATTGATTGTGAGATTTTGAAAGCATAGATCTGGCTTCAGCTGTATACTTTGTAGCAAAATATCTGAAATGTTAAATATTCAGCACATTCAGAGAACTGTTATCCATAGTTGAATGAATTACAGGAAAACCCGACAATAAAGACTTACTAGATGACAAAACGAGCGGTCAGATTTATGTAACATAACAGTCTAATTCTCAATCTTAAGTAATGTGTAATATTATCATAATGTTTTAATACATCAGAGAGTTTCTTTAAAAGTATAATTTTAAGGCTGTTCAATACAAGACATGTATAATTAAAATATTTCTTACAGAAGTTGATCAAGACCAAGCTGTCCCATGCCACGGAAGTCTGTTTGAGGATCGGTACCTTGGAATCCAAGCTGAGACCACTGTGAACTAGTTCTTGATGTTAACTTCTCACCATCTGTTAGTACAGTCCATAGCTACAAAAACTAGAACTATCACTAAATGTGATTAATACCCCCACAAGACTGCCTGGAAATGAGTATGTTACTAGTAACAGAATACCTTGTAAAAGAATTAAAATATAGAGTTATGGTTGTGGGCAATTAAAGATAGTTGTGGTTCTTGTATGTTGCATTTCCTTTCAATGTGGTTGGCCATTGATGAAGTTTAATTGAATTAATCTGTAATAAGTCCAGAAATACAAAGAAAAGGAACAAAGGCCCCTTTCAATAACTCTATAAATACTGAAGATAGAGTTATAGTTCTTGTGCACTACACTTCCTCTTATTGTGCTTGACCATTGTATGAAGTTGTTTTGAATTCCAACCTGTACGTTTTAAGTTATGCTCCTGACAAGGAAAAGTATCAAAGGGCAGTAACTCTGTATTTTGTCAAAATGGAGTTATGGCTCTTGTGCACTGCACTTCCTTTAAATGTCCTTGACAACTGTATGAAGTTGTACTGAATTTCAAACAGTAGTTTTCAAGTTATGCTCTGGACAAGGAAAAGTAACAAAGGGCAACAACTCTGTAATTAGTCAAGATGGAGTTATGGTTCTTGTGCACTGCACTTCCTCTCAATGTGCTTGACCATTGTATGAAGTTATATTGAATTCCAAACATTAGTCTTCAAGTTATGGTCTCCAGACAAAAAAAGCAATGGAAAAGTAACAAAGCGCAATAACTCTGTAATTACTTTAGATAGAGTTATGGTTCTTTTGCACTGCATTTCCCCTTATTGTTTTTGACAATTGTATGAAGTTGTTTTGAATTCCAACCAGTAGTTTTCAAGTTATGCCCCGGACAAGAAAAAGTAACAAAGGGCAATAACTCTGTAATTAGTCAAGATAGAGTTATGGTTCTTATGCACTGCACTTCCTCTCAATGTGCTTGACCATTGTATGTAGTTATATTGAATTCCAACCATTAGTCTTCAAGTTATGGTCCGGACAAAAAAATCAATGGAAGGTAACAAAGGGCAATAACTCTGTAATTACTTTAGATAGAGTTATGATTCTTGTGCACTGCACTTCCCCTTATTGTGTTTGACAATTGTATGAAGTTGTTTTGAATTCCAACCAGTTATTTTTTAAGTTATGTCCTGGACAAGGAAAAGTAACAAAGGGCAATAACTCTGTAATTAGTCAAGATAGAGTTATGGTTCTTATGCATTGCACTTCCTCTCAATGTGCTTGACCATTGTATGTAGTTATATTGAATTCCAACTATTAGTCTTCAAGTTATGGTCCGGACAAAATAAAAACTTTGGAAAAGCAACAAAGGGCAATAACTCTGTAATTATTTTAGATAGAGTTATGGTTCTTGTGCACTGCACTTCCCCTTATTGTGTTTGACAATTGTATGAAGTTGTTTTGAATTCCAACCAGTAGTTTTCAAGTTATGCCCCGGACAAGAAAAAGTAACAAAGGGCAATAACTCTGTAATTAGTCAAGATAGAGTTATGGTTCTTGTGCACTGCACTTCCTATCAATGTGCTTGACCATTGTATGTAGTTATATTGAATTCCAACCATTAGTCTTCGAGTTATGCTCCGGACAAGGAAAATGCAACGGACGTCTGGACCGACCGACCGCCCGACCGACCGACCACCGGATGACTCCTATATACCCCCCAAACTTAAAATAAAGCAAAGTCATGTTGATGTAACAGTCAAAAAAAACAAAAACAAAAAACATCAAAGGCACTTTAACAACCTAAATAGATATGTAAATGTTTGAATTAGAATCGTCAATAATTTACCTTCATCAGTTTATCTTCATGGTCAGAATTTTCACTGGAATATTTCACCTGTCTTATAGTTTCCACTGTATGCTGTAATCTTATATATCCATTTATCTGGGTCAAACATTGTCGAAATACGTGCTCAAATCTAAAACAATAAAATCCTTATTTCAATTGGTGATTTTATTATTACTCTTACCTTGCTATTGTATAACCTGAGTGATAAATTTCAAAAATGAAAAAAAAAAAAACTAGTAAAATTTTTTAGTTATAGATTTGACAAAGCCATTTAAAATAATGTTATAATTATAATTAGGGATGGAAATCGGATGAAATTTGTCCCAATCGATCATCGGTTCAATCGGATGGGACATAATCGATAACTTTCCGATTAAAGTCGCGTTAAAAAGAAATAGGGAAGAAACATTTTTTTCCCAAGGAACTTGATTTTATTTTGTAACATGAACTTTATTTAGCACTTTTCAACACAGTTTAAACCCTACTTAGCTATTATTTTACGAAATAGATTTAATTTTCCAATGGATGTCAAATAATAACATTAACATCACATAATATATTACTAATGTTTACATCACGTATTGATCCTATTCAACTCAAAATTGTCTCTGAGATAATTTTTTTGCGATCGGCAAGGTGTTCCTAAAAGAAAATTACCGCCAGAATTAATTCGTTTTGATACTTTAAACATTTTCGACAAACGTGGAACAATTTTTTGTGAATCGATTATTGTCGTTTTACATAACAGTAACTGATTATCAGCGACTTGCGACAATCAGAACATCACTAATTATAATCATTAACTTTACCAAATATTATTGAAACATACTTTATCCTAGCTATCTAAATGACTGATCACCTGTTACACCTTTCTTCAACTTAAATCACACCTTACAGACATATATCTTCACCTTATGAAAATAACTAATCAAAGTGAATCATTGAATTAAGTAATCCCTAGATATAAACCAGAGATGTGTGACAGTGAGCTCAACTAGTGTAAGTTCTTGATAGAGGAGTACAAACAGTTTATAAAAAGATATAATTGACAGAATATCATAAAGAGGTCTTTATTTAAAAACTATACTTAAAAGTGGAAAAAGGACACATCTACTGAATATATCAGATAAGGTAAAACATATACTATGTTGGAAAGAAACAAAAGGGGCATTAATAAAATTCATCATCATATCCTTTTATACTGAATGGTATAATAAAACAGTGGTGGTAGTTGGGGGGATAGAAACAGTAGCTTCCATAGAACTATTTCAAGTGCTTGCCTGGATTTAGGTGAGTGTTAAAAAATTAATATTTTAATTGTTCAAAAAAAAAAATTGTTACCATGAGAGAAAATACATTATTTTCTATGGCTATATTGAGTACAATAAAGGGTGCTGGGTGCAACCTGGGTCTTTCTCCTAGTCTGACTTACTTGAACGCATGTAAGTTCATTGTGTTTATTAGTTTTATAGTGAGGGTTATGTTGGCACCCACTCCATCTCTATGTATGACACAGGGAAGCCCAAGGCAGGGTTACAGACAGAACTGCCAGGCAGGAGTCTTACCGGGTATGTAATCTAGTGTTCATCAGGTAATTAAGGTCTAAAAAATAGGTTTTGACTCAGTAAACCAAATTACTACAAAGACTTACTGTGAATGTACTTCTGGCAATATCATTTTTGTTTTCATCACCAAGACAACTGCTGCCTCTATGTTTGTGTCAGTCTCTTTTACAAGTCTCTTCAGCTCATTTTGACTGGAATGCCTTAAACTGTATTCTACAACAAAAACAAGCAACTGTCTGTATCAGAACAAATTCAAGTGATAACACACAGTCATGTTCCTATATTCCACATGTATGTGTGTCTTAAAACTTCCAGCAACACATCTTAGAAACAACCCAAACATTTATACAACCCTAAAATTTATTGAACCTTGTAATCAATAGTGTATGTAGGAAATCAATGACTGTCTAATAAGGCTTACAAACTTGGTTTCCCCCATCAGTTATTTTATAAAATGCTTCTTTATAATGAATCTGCTTCAAGCATTGATGATTCATGCATATGTTTTATGCAATACTATTAAAACATTTTGTACTGCATTACACTGTTATGCACTGCCCCTAAACCTATGTTGCAAAGTACAGTGGAATGCATTATATCATAAATACATACCTACATATTTGGTCCTTGCAGCTCCCTTAGGGTACTGATATGTTATACGAAGGAGTTCACATTTACCAGTCACCCTGCGGATAATCCACTTGAACATTGGTCTTAGGTAGACATACAGTGTAGCAACCAAACTAGCCCATAATGCTTGCAACATTGGAATACTCTTTGCCAAGTTTAATATATGCTGATCTTTTTAAGTAACTGAAATTAAAAGTTGAATTATAATTTTATTTAATGTCTGTATGCTAGATGCTGTAATTTTTCCAAAAGTGCTGAAAAATATTTTTATAAAATTTGAAATATGACTACATGTAGATAGTAGTATGAATGGCCATGGCCCTTCAGAATGTTGCTGACATACTTATTGTGCTGCTCTTACTGGTGGGGACTTTTGTATAATTGTACTTTTAATATTTGGATGTCAAAAGTTTAGGTTATGGTTGTCTGTCTATAGACTAATTGTGTTTATTTAAAAGGAACATTCAATTTAAATAAAACAATTAAAAAGACTTGGGTCATTATCGATTAATATGGTAACTTTGACCGGTACTCCTTTCCAGTTCCTCCCCTGATGTTTGCTCCCTGACTGTTGCACATGTGCAGACTGTTCCTTCCCATTTTATTCTTAATCTTATAAATTAAAAATGTTTGATAGTCTCAATCTTCTGATAGATTTACAAATTGAGCTATTTTACAAAACAATCAAGCCAATTTTAGTGTGCAGTGTTGAAATTTTGGAATTTGGTAATCTTGACATTATTGAGGGGGTACAATTAAGGTTTTAAAACTTATTCTAAGTTCAAGAAGTCAACACCAAATTATTTTGTATATGGAGAAACCCGCTGTATGCCTATCTATTGACATTGAATGAAGGATAATATCATTCTGGTCAAAATTATGTAATAACGATGGTGTTAATAATAAATGAATGTAGAAATATAGAATAATAAATTGTAAATCCTTGTCTATAAGAACTCACTACTCTCAACAGCTGGTTTAAGTGTTAATTTGCTTTAAAAGAAATTTCCATGTTTTTTTAGTGTCAAAACTATTTTAATCAAATGTGGTCTATCAAAAGTGTGGTTTGACAACCGGTTTACAAACACTGAGTGGCTTAAACTCTCTGTTAAACAAATCTTTAAAAAAAATTCTTAAACGACTGGTATTCCAAAATTGGAAATTCGAGTAACAGTTTGTTTTATGGAGTTTTTAAAAAGACATTTGGATTTGAATTTTTAACTTTGTAAATTTTTTTAATTAAATTCAGAACAAGAAATCATTAATTTCCAATAGAAACGGGTAATTGGTCTAATATTCCAATAAACTAAAGATTTTTTGCTGTCAAAATTAAATAAGTGACCAATTTCATTATTTATTTGAATGTTGTCAAATTTGAACAAACAATTGTCTGTGTATGTGTCTTGACAAAAATTGTAACCAAATGGCACCAAAACCGAACCTAAACAGTTTGGAGTAGTAATCTAACAAGAGCGATCAGTAATCACATGTGTAGCCTCATGATGGCCAATTTCATGTTGGGACAAATTTTGTGACAGACGGACAGACAGACGGACAGTGCACAACTAGACTTGGTACTGATCATTCCTGTAAAGTTTGGATAAAATTGCACCAGTAGTTTATGAGGAGTAGTCCGGACAAGCTTTTGCGTATCTGGCAACACACAGAAAAAAAACACCTTTTTATCAAAGGGCCATAACTCGGCCAAAAATCATTCAACCAGAAAACCCGTGCAATATGCACAAGTACTTGAGCTACAGACCAATCCTGTAAAGTTTCATTGAAATTGCATTAGTGGTATAAGAGGAGTAGTCCAGACAAACTTTAAAATTAAAAATTATTAAAGGGCCATAACTCTGACAAAAATCATTGAACCGGAAAATGCTGACTATATGCACAACTAGACTTGGTACTGATCATTCCTGTAAAGTTTGGATGAAATTGCACCAGTAGTTTATGAGGAGTAGTCCGGACAAGCTTTTGTGTATCTGGCAACACACAGAAAAAAACACCTTTTTATCAAAGGCCATAACTCGGCCAAAAAATCATTCAACCGGAAAACCCGTGCAATATGCGCAAGGACTTGAGCTACAGATCAATCCTGTAAAGTTTCATTGAAATTGCATTAGTGGTATAAGAGAAGTAGTCCGGACAAACTTTAAAATTAAAAATTATTACAGGGCCATAACTCTGACAAAAATCATTGAACCGGAAAATGCTGACAATATGCACAACTAGACTTGGTACTGATCATTCCTGTAAAGTTTGGATGAAATTGCACCAGTAGTTTATGAGAAGTAGTCCGGACAAGTTTTGTGACGGACAGACGACAGAGAAGTGATCCCTATATGTCGCCACTACTCCGTAGAGGCGACACAAAAATGACCTTTAACATAACTGATGAAACAACCAATCAAAAAGGTTGTTTATCCAAAATACAAAGACTGGAATGGAGTAGTAGTACAAAAGTGACCTCTGACCTAACTGAAAAAAAACTAATGAGAAAGGCTGTTTTATCCATAATTAAAAGATTTTATTGTTAACAAAATGCTTCATATTATCAACCACCAAACATTTAAACTAAAAAAATATGTACTAAAAGCAAGTCTGAATTTCTCAAGTTGTGTAAATTTGTACAATGTATTATTCAAATGATAAGCATGTAACTATTAACTGAAAATATTTATGATGTAGATATTAATTTACATTACATTAAAAATTGGTCATTATTTTCTTGTTTGGTTGATTTTCAAAATGTCTTCCTTTCACCCTTTGTAAGACTCATATTCTTATAGCATTTATTGCAAATTCCTCATATTTGCATGCTTACATGTATTGAAAGAATTAAATATCTATGTTGAGTTGCAGTTGAGTTGTGTTTAATACAGATTTATACTGATTAACAAATTAATATGAAAGAAAGTCATGAGCGGGAAATTATACATATAAACAACCACGGATTTATATTACAGGGATCGGACACTCCCAGTTAACCCTATATAAATGCTTAAATATCTTGTCGTGCATCCGATAAAGGTACATCGAACGATAATTTACCGGCGCTAAGCGTAAATGCCCGTTTGCAACGGATACCTACTTTACAAAATACCATATAGCTTTTCCATTTATTATCCGATTTTGGAAATTTAAAGTTTATTTTGAAGAAAAATACTTGTTTAATTCAAATATCTAATTTATTTTTTAAAGGTACAGTTTATCTGACCGCAACGACGATTAAAAAATTAACTTGAAAAAAATCCGCGGTAAATTTACATTTTTTATATAAAAAGTAGGTATTTGAAATTTATTATTATGGTAACATAATAAATTCAATTTCAAAATAAAAAATAAGCCGATGTAAGTTATTCACAGATGATCAAAGATGCAATATTTAAGATTAATTGGGTTATGTAGTCAAATTTATTAACGCACAATTGTTTTACGGGAAAAGTATTGCGGGCTTTACAATTCGCTCAACACGTGAAGAAAATTTATTCATTTTTTAGTACAAAATATTGCCGAGATTTTAATATTGCCATATTCATAGAATATTTAAATTTCCTTCATCATTTATATCATTATTATTTTTTTGTAAATCTGTTTTCAAAAGTCGGTGCAGTGAAGAAGATAATCGTCGAAACAATTTTAAAAGTACTCTCGTGTGGCTGTCTCGATTCCGGCCTCGTATATTTTAAATATTCTTTTTATTTGAATGCCTGTAGAAAGATATTATTGATATATTTAAATGTAACGCTAGAAAAACAATAAAAATCTTAACAGTTTGAGTCAGTATTATGCGAAATAAAAGTAACTTTTGATTATTTTTTACACAGCGCTTAAATTTCTTTGAAGTTTAATTACTTTTGAAGAGGGTTAATTATCAGGTAACAAGAGATAATTGAAAAACTTTATTTTCAAACTTTCATTACCAGGTTACATGTGATAATTGCAACACCCAATCTTCAAAAACAAATAGAATTTGAATGTATATTTTGTATGTGCGCGGTCTTTCACTACAGTCCATGGTATGTGGGGTAAGAAAATGATTCTGAAGAGGATATAAATCAATACAATGTAAATCTATTTTCTTTATTAACATTTATAAATGAAATAGAAAATATACAACTAAATTTGTATAGCCCTTTCTTTGAAAACTCATTAGAATAAACATATGACAAATAAATCATTTGACGTGAATTGTGAAGGATAACTATGAAAAAAATCTGTTTCAAAAAATAATTTTTTTTTTATATAACAGCTGTTCCGTATGCAAATAAAAGTATCTTCATTGCCAATCTAATGAATTAATCTATATATGAACGCTTGTCTAGAATGATCAGAAAATATATTTAATACACTTAATAGTAGAATATTTACTATATTTATACTAATTAAATATAAAACAGGTAATTAAATAAAAAATGTACAAATCATTTGGAAATAATTCACAGAAATAAAGACAAATTTCAAACATAAATTTCTTCAAAAGCTTTTAAGCAATCAAGAAACATTTTTTTGCAATGCACCCATTAAACCATGTAAAAAAGAATTATCTTAATCTGAGTCGCGGTTATAATTTGTGCTTGAAGTAAAAGGGCGTCAAAGTGTAGAGAGTATGCCTAAACAATAGGCGAATATTTTTTAAATTAGGTACTTTTTTAACTAAGCGTAGCATCGTTCTATCGGCATATTTTAATATAGAAATACTTTAGCGACACAAAATAATACTGTATCCATACATTCATATGTATATAATTTTTCAAAAGCTACAATAACACCACATACTCTTTTGAAAATCAGTCATATTTCGCACTCCGCGCGTTCCGCCATCTCACATTCTGTCCACCTTTATCCTATGTGCGATTCCGCGCATGCGCGTGACGAGACTTTAAGCTAAACGGAAGTGTCCGATCCTTGTAATATAAATCCGTGAAACAACAGATAGAAAAATTGCACAAAAATATGTTTCCTTAAAAGTATAATTTACAAAACAAATGTTGCCAACAATATTTCAATACTTGTTATCATGTTCAAAATAGTAATAGTAAAACACCTTTGTACAAAAAAATAAAAATCTTTTTTGAGAAAAACTGTCAACAAATTTCAAATTTTGGGCAGAACTGTTATGGGGGTAGGAAACGATTAGGAAGAGAACCGGTCAGGGTGGGGAATAAGCTAGGTAGTCCAATATATTAGACGTTACAGGCTTGTTATAACTTATAGTTTTATGTTGGTCATGGAAAATGAAACATGTAAAATATCAGATTAATCATTTAATGAATGATAAATATGAAATAGGTTACGTATAAGTCTTATATTTAGGACTAGGGAATAAGCTATAAGCAGATAAGGGTGAGAATAGTCTGTCGTTTTTCACCATCATTATTATTCTGTTTTTTGTTGTTGTTTTTTTTGTTTAACTTGAGCATGACTTAAAAACAAAAAAGACTTTAAATTAAATTTCATTAAGGGTGAAAAAAAAACAGCTGAGACCTTTAAAACTTACAGCTTTCTTTCTCAATTGTAATGATGTAGTTTCCACAACGTGTTAATAAAATGGTAATCATAATAATATTTACAGATACATGGCGTGTTTTGATTGGTCAGCGTTTCCACAGAAACCAGAGACAAAATATTGACTTCTGATCACAATTAAGATTGGTGGTGCTATTACATCGGAGCTTATATCATTAAGTCCAAAAACCAAACGAACTTTCTGTCATAATAGGATGCATTAAATGCTTTGAAGCCTTTCCTTCCGTAATGTATAAATATAGGTCAGGAGGACATTAGAAACCATTCAGCCAATAGAATCCTTTGTAACAGTGATATTTTGTTTCCTGACCTTTAATAAAGTCGCATATTCGTAGAAATTTATAATAATTTAAGAATGTTTCTTTAATTTTAGATCGTCATCGAAAGTAACTGAGTGCTATTATATGATAAAAATAATTTAGAATTATGTTTTTATGAGCAGATATAAGGAATTTCGTATATGAAAATTCGTTTTGTTTGTAAATATAAAAAAGACAGCATGGCGCGGATAAAGAGAAAAGAAATGTCAAAACATTTTGCTATTTTATTCCTATTCTTTCAAACCCTATGTCAAATATGTCACAGTCTGGAAACAGTAGAAAGTCACAACCAAGGTGAGGAAATGTTTTTAGCTCACATAATTGGAAATATTTGAAAATAACAGGCATCGTATTTTTGTTATTTTCTGTCATAATTTGTGCTAGATTTTCACGAAAGTATGACCTAATATATTAAATAGTAGAGATTTATTTAAAAAAAATGTAGTTTAAATAAAATGCATTGAACAATTTTATTTGAAATCTAAGATAGCAAGTTTTAGCATGAATATACATTTTAATTCACATTTTATTATTTGTTTATTATGCATGGTTATGTGTCATACCTTAGAAACAGGTGCTGTAAACAGATGTTTTCCAAGTTTTGGTACTTTTAAAGTTTAAGTGATATAGATCTATATGTAGATATTTTAAAAGGTTAACATATTATTTTGATTATTGTCTTTTTTAAAGTCATAAAGATCATTAAAAATTTTCATGCTGGAACAGTAACTTAAACATCAGTTGTGCAAGATTTAATATGAAAATTGGTGCTACCTATGATGCAGAAAGCTTATATGATTTAATAACAAGCATACAATTTCCAATATAAATGTCACAGGGTGAGAAAAATGTGCAGTCTGACCTGGACTCAAACCTGGGAACCTTGGAATACTGTTCCTTGGCTTTACTGACCGAGCTACCTGGCCACTTACACATCTTCCCTCTAAATAGTAGACAGTTCTGAACCGTGACATACAAACCAGATCATTCCTTTACATTAATTAAGAAGTAAATGCAGATATTTTGTTATGTTAAATAGATATGAATGAATATGTGCTGTTTAACCTATCATCAAAGTATTTTGAGTGTTTCAGATTATTTTGTCAGCCAATTTTTGTTAATCTCTAATGTGATGATTTATCTAAATGGATATTATGCTAATCATAGCAAAACTACTGTTTACAACACACTTGTTTCCAGAAATCAAATCGAGAAAAATAAATTAAAAAAATAGCAGATCAATGCGTAAAAAAAATAAAATTCAAATGGTATTGAAGAAATTGAACAATACTTTACTCAGTTTACTGCGATGATTTTTTTTCCAATTTTCAAAACAACCTGTGGCTTTCCAAAGGGGAAAATATAGCGTGATCAATCAGAAAAGGGGGAAAACCTGAAATCAAATTCCAACAACTGAAAATGGAATTTACCCACACATTTTATGAAAAAAATTACTATCAATTCAATTTAACATGCATGGTACATAGCAGAGGCTATATAAAGGGACATATTTCTGTCTTCCAGATGATATAAGTCAGATGCTGTTAAGTCATGGTTCTGGTAAGGAAGACCACAAGGCATTTTAAGGGAAAATATTAGCATTTTTAGGGGAAAATATACCTATTTTGGGCTATGGGAAACAGCCTTTATTTGGCTGTAAAATACAGTGAAAAAATCACTGAACTGTATCCCAAATTATGTAGCGTTTTTTCTAGATTATGTAGCACATATTGTGTATATATGAAAATTATCATAATCATCTTCAAATACAAGTATCAACAGTACATTACAGTTTTTTTTTTTGAAATGTTATTTTCATTCCTAATAAATTTGTTTAAATTGAACACTTTTGTCACCATCCAATTAAAACAGAAATAACTCACAAGTAGTTTTAGTAAATAAAGTTAATTAAAGAAAAAACAAAATGTGATTGTTAAGATTGTCTTAATTCATGTGTGGAAGTTAAGATGACTTGTATATATAATAAAAGAAACTATTTGAAACATAAAAATCAAAGTTTTGTGGGAATTACATGAATAAGTATACAAGACATAATGGTATTCTATTTTTTTTATTTTCAGCTTTCATACAGACAGACAAACATTTAACATATATAGTAGGGGATGTTAGTTCAGGAATTCCAATTGAGGTAAGAAGTCTGTCATTTAAATTTCTTTACTTAGATAAGTCAAAAAAAGTTATATCTTCTTTCTTCACATCATGCAAATCATTAGCCCCATTTATATCTATAGCTGTATGTCATGTTCAGTGTTAAGGTGATGCGTAAGTCTTACTAAGATTGAAACTGGTATGAAATATTATGAATTTTAGCTCTACTTTTCAAAGAAAAAGCAGAGCTATTGTCATGACCCATTTGTTGTTGGATAACCTTTTTTGTAAAAGTTTTCATGTATAGTCATTGACATCAATACTAACAATGCTGTCACCTTGAGACCATTTTAAGGTTGAAAGGAACCTGTAAAAACAGAGCATAAAATTGGCCATTAAATTAAAGTGAATGGACCTTGGAACTTTAAACTTGTTATGTGAATGCACCTTGCTGAGTTCTACCTGTCACATCCATTTTCAGGTCAAAGATCAAGGTCACTAGGACCTGTAATATTAAAAATAATTAAATCTGGCCACTGATTTAAATTGATATGACCTATGAATCTCAAATTTTTTATGTAAATACAGAGTCATGTTCAAATTGTTGGGTCAAAAGGTCAAATATATTTTTTTTATCAAAACTTTGTTTATAGTAAATATTTTAAAATATGACATTGAAACTTATAATGTGCTAGCATCTTGGTGTGTTATATCTGTTACATCTATTTTGTTTGAAAGGTCAAGGTCA